TGAGAACCCTCTAGCAATTTTTTTATAAAGATGGCTCCAGCTCCATTTCATTTATTAGTGATAGGTTCCATTTTTTTTAATTCTCAAATTTATTCCTCCTTACTATTCTCTATCCACTACTATAATATCTATTTCATTTTTTTCTTTTAATTATAATATTCGTTTATTTATTTAAAAACTAATATTTTTAAAAAATATCTTTTTTTTCAATTTTATTATTTTTATTTTCCAGTTTTTTGTTTTCAAATCGATTATAAAATTCCGAAAACAGCTATAAAATTTTCGGAATCAACTATTGCGGAAATCAACTATTTTCGAAAACAACTATTTCCGAAATCAACTATTTCCGAAACCAACTATTTCCAGAATTAACTATAGGTTACTGAAAACAACTACTTATTTTTGTTCGTTTATTTCTCGAACCAACAATCACAAAAAATAGTTATTTTAATAGCAGATTTACTAAAATTATATCAACTACAAATTAATGAAAATCAACCATAAAAAAATGAAATCAACTATATAAAATTATCAAATCAACTTTAAATTATCGAAACCCACTATAAAAATCGAAAACAACTATAATTTATCTAAATCAACTATAAAATAAAAAATCTCAATTTAAGAGAAATTATAATCAACTATAGTTGAATCTAGATTCTTGACATTACAGTCACATATCCATCGAGAAAGGGCTATATCTCCACCGGCCTTGTGTTGAATCCAAAAGTTGTGAGGATTATTTGTTCCATCGCCGCTGTCTCAACCACTCCCCAACTTTTACATGCCAATCACTCACAAGTGAAGAAAGGACGCAAATCCCTTGCGTCAACCGCCAATTACCACTCTGCCACGCCAGATCGCCGCTACGAATGCCTAAAATGGTTTCAGAGAAAATTAATATAAAATCAACTACACTCCATAATATATCGAGAATAAACTATAAACCACATTTTTATCTAAAATCATGAATAAAGATCTGAACGGAATCTAAAAATTCGATCTAAAATTGGCAAAAGATAGGATGAATTAACAACTTTGCTCCGATGAGTCCTCAAAACATAAGTTGTCGTTGTTTTTTATTACCGGTTTCATCGTCGGGCTGCGACTCGAGGCAATCGGAGAGCAATTGTTGTCTACTGAATGACGGCTTCTGGTATTTGGAGAGACTCAAAAAGAGTAAAGGATTAACGAGGGCACCGTTGGGCGGTGATGACGGCGATGGACGGAGGGCAGCGACGACGGTGGTGGACGGAGGGTGGCGGTGGGTATATGAGATCTGGTTTGGGGTTGGGGATAGAAACGAGAGAGAGCTAATGACTGCTGTAGAGAAAAGGGAGATGAAGAAGAGAAATAGGATTTGGTGATTTTATATGATAATTAAGGGTAATATAGGCACACCACTTAAAATTTTAATTTATGTTCAATTAAAATATAAAATAAGGGGGTTCTCACTAATATGTAAAATAAGGTTATATCCATTTTGATATAATCAAATGTATTGAGGGTTTTTCATTAATTATCCCTTATTACATGCATGGGAGCCAATGAAATCATTAAAATTAAAGAACGTAGTTTAAAGTGACACTAATCTCCACGCAAACAGCACAACCACAAAGACGAGCACTCGGCACAAAAGTAGAAAGTGGAACATTAATGCTTTAATTATTCATTACACAGCAACTTTAATTCTAAGTTTTCTTTGGTTTTGGAAGGAGACTGCACTAAAGCTAAAGGCCATAAAAAGCATTCAAAGCAACGAAAAAGCAATTTGCAAGAGGATATATGTATACCACTTTATATTTAACTTGTTTATTTTACCTTATGCAGATGTTAAGAAAAGTAACCATTATAATTGAATATTTAATGCTATAACTTTTAATTCGCAATTGAGAAGGTGTAAATATACTTTTTGTACCTAGAATCAAATTTGCTGCAACTCTTCCTTCGTTATGAAGTAGTTGACTATTGCCCTATTATGAATTTTACGACCACTTCATAATGCGGTCACCGATTATTACTCTATCTTCAGTGGCGGAGCCAGCATAGGGTCGGGGAAGGAGGCATGCCACTCCCAACATTTCTCAAATCACTATTAATTTATATATAAGTATATTTTTTTTTGTACACTAGCATTAACGGTCCCTCTAGTAATTTTTTAATGCATTCCGCCCTGAGATTTAAAATTTTGGCTCCACTATTGTCTATCGTATACGCTTGTATATTTTTTATGTAATTCCAATACCCACCCGTGTTCTGGAATTGATTTGTTAGATTGACTATTTTAATTGAGATTAAATTCTAAGTGGACCAGCCGATATTTAATATAAATCGGATTCCACTAATTTTTTGACATGTGACACTCTTAAGTCTTAACTCTTAATAAATCACGTTGGTTATAATTATGGTTAGAAGGGTTATGAGTTATGCTGTGGTTTTCTTTTTTCTTTTTCTTTTTCCAATTATTAGAATCTTAATTATATTTTTATTTAAATTATCCACATGTCAATCATCCTATGACATCCGATTTTCCTATTAAAACAGACCATCCAATCTAAA